GTAACCTATATGCTAGACCACAAAAGTTTTCAGCCCCTACAGAAAAAGGTTTTCTAATTTTTTTTATTGCATGACTGAGCATTTAGTTAAACACATGATCTTAGCTCAAAGAGCCTAGAAGGAGGGTGCATTTTCTTAGATCATGTTTCATAATACACATGCCGTATGTGCCAGACATCTTATTAGCCTTATACTTTTTCAACCTGAGTTAAAAGAAAAGCTAACACTAGAGAAATAGGAAATCAGCTGATTCTCCTTGAATGTGGAAAGGGCGAATCTCTGTGCATGAGCAGAGCACCCCCTTGAATACAGATGTAAAATTCCAAAGAGAAATGTCTTTTCTGAAACAGACCAGGAAGCCGTGCATAAGTATTAGCAGCCAGGGCCAGGGAGACTATGGCGCTTTCTAGTGGATAACAGTGAACCAGATGAGATTTTCATCAGGAGAGAACAGATCCTTATGGAGGCAAAAGCTGATCAGAGTAACTGACATGGAGGCAAGGGTTACAACTCCCTCTTCAGCTGCTTTCTCCCAGTGACAACATAAAAGCAGGACCCTCATCCACCCCAGAACTCAATTCAGACGATTGGAGAGAGGCACATCGCTAACAAATGCAGCACTGCCAACTCTTGTGATTTTTATGTGAGTCTCACAATATTTGGTGTTTTTTCTTAAAGGCCCAGTGGCCGAAATCAAGAGATAGCAATGCAAATTTCAGGCTTCATTTATTATTTGGCCTGGCTCATGCCTTTGAAATAATGGGGGTTGACATTGCTGCAGATACCTTTGCCACTAAACCAACTGCCTCTCCACTCCCAGTGACAGGTGGAAAGTGAGGGGGGAAGAACACCCCTGCTCAGCAGCTGCTCCTTATTAAATGCTGCTTCCTAACCGTTTTTTTATATGTGTCTGAATCCCCTGTGACGAACTTTGTAAATACGTTTTTTTCAACAGGTAAGATAATATGATCGTGTTTAAGCCATTGTAGGTAAAATTCTCCCTGTTCAGAGGAAACCACACAAGACCAATACAACGCTGAACTCTCTCAGGGACATTTCACGGAAACTCTTAAGTGGTTCAAAGGCTTTGGGTGGACCCTCAGCCGAGGGGTGAATTTCCTTCTGTGTGAATAGATAATTTCTCCCACTTTGCCCTCTTCAGTTTGCTAGTTTCTGGGTTTTCCACTTCCCTTCTGTAACTCTCCAAGTTCTGTACTTGCCTTAGGTTCATTGAGTTGCGGTTTGTGTCATACAGACAAGCCCTGGAAATAACTTCTCTGTGGTATATAGCAGTGGTTTTCATATTTTTTTTTTCACGGACCACTTGAAAATTGCTGAGGGTCTCGGCGGACCACTTAATGATTTTTCCAAATATTGTTTATACCATTAGCTAACTATTGTAAAGTGCTTTGGATAAAAGCGCTATATAAAAAAAAAACTTAATAATAAACTTTTTTGTTCTACAAATAAAAGCACCCAACTCATATTTTAATATCAGTAGTCTTACCTTCTAAAGCGATGGATGTGCCCTCTCATCCCCACCATGGCAGCCCCCAAGCTGGGGCTGGGAAGGAGGGGAGTCTCTCCTCTGCCACAGAAATGAGGCTGGGAAGGAGGGGGATCTCTCCCCTGCAGCCGCAGCCCTGGAGCTGGGGAAAGTCACTGTGATGGGTTCAGTCACAGAAATCCCCTTGGGACTGTCATCTGATGTGCTGAAATTACCTCTGAGCCCATTTTCCCTGCCAGCTTGGGACTCCAGAACCCTGCCTTGTTGAGCCAGACATGCTAGCCTGTTGCAACACAGACCCAGGGTCTGGGCCATGCCCCCAAAGCTGCAGGCTTTAAGTGAAAACAGCTCTGCAGGTTACCTGACTCCAGCACCCAGACACCCAGCTCCCAGTGGGATCCAAACCCAAAATAAATCCATTTTACTCTGTATAAAGCTTATACAGGGTAAACTCATAAATTGTCCACCCTCTATAACACTGATAGAGAGATATGCACAGCTGTTTGCTCCCCCAGGTATTAATCACTTACTCTGGGTTTACTAATAAACAAAAGTAATTTTATTAAGTATAAAAAGTAGGATTTAAGTGGTTCCAAGTAATAACAGACAGAACAAAGTAAGTTACCAAGCAAAATAAAGCAAAAACACGCAAGTCTAAGCCAAATACATTAAGAAACTGATTACAGATAATACCTCACCCCCAGAGATGTTCCAATAAGCTTCTTTCACAGACTAGACTCCTTCCTAGTCTGGGCCCAATCTTTTCCCCTGGTACAGTCCTTGTTAGTTCCAGCAGCCATCTCAGGTGGTAACTAGGGGTTTTCTCATGACTAACTGCTCTTTGTCCTGCTCCACCCCCTTTTTATAGCTTTTGCACAAGGCGGGAGTTCTTTGTCTATGCTTTGCCCCCACCCTTCCTTCTGAATGGAAAAGTACAAGGATTAAGATGGATTCCAGTATCAGGTGACATGATCACATGTCCTGTGAGACCCCAGCCTCCATTCTTCCTGGGCTGGCTTACAGGTACACAGGAAGGTTTGCAAGTAAACAGAGCCATTTACAGTTCATTGATTCTGAAGCATCCTTAATGGCTTCCACTTAATATGTTTACATCAGCAATACAAGTGTATAACTTATTCTCCTAATTTCAGACATAGAAATAATTCATGCAAACAAATAGGATGAACACACTCAGTAGATTATAAGCTCTGTAATGATACCTTACAAGGGACCTTTTGCATAAAGCATATTCCAGTTACATCATATTCACATTCATAAGCATATTTTCATAAAGCATATGGAGTGCAATGTCACAGTCACCTCTTTCTCTAGCCGCCGCAGCCCTGCACATCCCAAATTCCCCCACCCCCTCTTCTCACCCCACTGCCCCCCTCCCCTCTCCCTCCTATTCCCCCCAAGGCCACCACCTCACCTTACATGTGCGTCTTCTCCAGGGTCCAGGCACCTAATTAGTGGAGCCATGCCTGCGCAGCTCCATTAATTAGGTGGATGGCCCTTCATTCTTTCATGTGCAGCTGCTCAGGCACGCACCTTAGAGGGAACTATCCACAGACCACCTGAATGGAGCTCGCGGACCACTGGAGCTCGCAGTTTGAGAACCTTTGGTATATAGGAAGGCCTGCAGACCTGAACTGGTGAGCATGGAATTGTTATTGAAACATGATTCTGTGCTATTTGAAAGAAAGAACTCCTGCTCCCATTCCTTGGATGAGAACATGAGAGCTCAAATTTGTTCTTAAAGTTGAAAGCAAAACCTAGAGTACTGTACTAATGCCAGTGATCTGTCTTGCATTATAGATCAATTGCACTTAGCGAGTCTGACCTAAATATTTGCATTCATTTTTCTCATTTTATTAGAGAAAAAATAATGAATTACCTTACAGGTAATCTCCCATCTCTTCCAGACCAAAAGATATAGAGATAGGTACGTATGAGATGTCCCAGGCAGAGTCACTGTTGTTTTGAGATGAGAGCTGGGGACTGGGAGTTAATTCTTAGATTGTGTGTGACCTTGATCTAATCACTTTCTCTCTCCATGCCTGAGTTTACCCCAAATTAGACATAATACCTCCTACCTCACAGCAGTGTTGAGGCTTAAATAATGAGTGTCTGTAAAGCACTGCAAGATTGCAGATGAAAGGTGCTTGAGAAGTGAAAATTATCTGGGCATCCACTGAAAATATGAGTACACTGGCCCTTTAAGTTAGGGGTGGCCAACCTGTGGCTCCGGAGCCACATGCGGCTCCTTGTATAGGCACCGACTCCGGGGCTGGAGCTACAGGTGCCAAATTTCCAATGTGCCAGGGGGTGCTCACTGCTCAACCCCTGGCTCTGCCACAGGCCCTGTCCCCACTCCACCCCTTCCCGCCCCCTCCCTTGAGCCTGCTATGCCCTCGCGCCGCCTCCTCCCCACCCAGAGCCTCCTGCATGCCACAAAACAGCTGATCAGGAGGTGTGGGGAGGGAGGGAGAGGCGCTGACTGGCAGGGCTGCCAGTGGGTGGGAAGTGCTGGGAGTGGGGGGTGGGGGGAGAGCTGATGTGAGGCTGCTGACATATTACTGTGGCTCTTTGGCAATGTACATTGGTAAATTCTGTCTCCTTCTCATGCCCAGGTTGGCCACCCCTGCTTTAAGTGATAAGTCTCAGGAGAAATATGGAGCTGTATTCTCCTGCCCCACAAGAATTCCTGCATAGAGAATAGAAAACTGAGTTTCCACTTGCAGAGTTTCCTGCTCTCTTCTGCCAAGGGAACCTTCCCTCTGCCTCCCACTGTAGAATGGGCAAGAGGTTCAACCACCCCAACTTATAGATCTCCCAAGATACCCAGGCCTCTATGTGCCCTGAAACAGAAGTGCTGCCATTGGCACAGTCCCCTCAATTAGTGTACAGCAGCAGGTGTGGAAGGCAGTCTACAGGCAAATGTAATACCCAAGTGCTTTTCCTATTGGAATTCCACTGGGTGTGGAGGAGAAAATGCTTAACTCTCCTCTGCTCCATTTTTTTTGCAAGGCTCCAGCTAGGTGGAAGAGTGTCTATGAGCCCAAGGAAAAGGGGGAGTGAGCTGTAGAGTCGGTATTCCCCTTCCTTCCATGTCTCCTCTTGTTGTTCCTCTCCATTCAGGGGATCCTATGGTTGGTGAGTCTGGGTCAGTGATTCAAGTTGCACACCACTGTAGAGATACTTTCTAACTGGAAAACTATTATAAAACCAAGATCATTCCAGCAATGTTTGAATTCAGCTTCATGTTTTTAAAAAGCAATTTAATGATCTTGCAAGATACAGCACAGTTACTGTAGTTAATAGTCATGCAAATATTGTGACTTGTAAAAGTAACATGAACACGTTTCCAACCTTGTGGGATTTCCTTTCAATGCATGAGAATTAAAAGAACTGGAACTTCATATAAATTTTCATCTAGAGAGATAGAATAAAGGAGACTAAAGAAATGACTGGGGAGACATGAGTGCATATCTGAGAAAAGAATTTGGCCCACGTTTAATGGGAAAAAGGTGAAGGGTTTCACTTGTTTGGCTGTCAAGATAGATATCTATATTATGAGTGTTTTACAAAGGGGAGTTTGTAATAGACATTTCTGGGGCTCAGAGCCAGATTGCAGTGCTTTATATCAGGATTGCTTTGGATTCTGCTACAGTACTTCTAACATTAGAGAACCATACCTCTGTTATCACCAGCTGATATACTTATAGGTAAAGGAAGAATGCTAAAAAAAAAATCTGTTATAACTCTTGACCTTTTTATCACCAATACAAAGCTGAATGTGGTTGATTCCAGAGCATCAGTAATATTTTTCCAGGGTACGCTGAAAACAATATCTTGTAGCAGTGGGTCACCACACTTAGGAATCGGATACAGTATGTGTGTATGCATTAAAGCCCTAGAAAAGAGCCTTAGCAGCAGCTAACAGATCCTGCATAGCAAAAGCTAGGGAGAGAAGTTCACACAACAGTTCATGGAATAAAAGTTTGTCCTCAGGCCAAATTTGGATCAGAATCTCACTGGGCCATTTGGCCCATGCAGCCCTGAGATGTGACACTTGGGTCCAGATCCAGATACCAACTTTACCAAAACTTGGGTGGAATCAGATCCAGGATTCCAGTGCAGGTCTCTCTTAAAATCTGATTTTGTGCATACTGGATGCATTCTGAAAGGTACTGAGTGCCATTAATACCCATTGAATGGGAGTTGAGAGCAGCCAGAATCTTACAGGAAGGTTTGCCATTGACTATGAAGGGGCTAAGATGAGGTCTTTGTACCAGTTCTATTTTGGCCAGACTGCTTTGCCCATTAATAATGCACTTATGAAGCTGCTGTTAGGATCTTAACAGAGAACTGCCCGACTCTTTAGTGGTTACTGAACTTTGACTTTGAATTAATGAAGATCCTTTCTGCAGCGGGATAGATATTGTCTCTAACAGTAACAGTGCTTCCGATACGAGGTTGCAGGATATAGATTTTGGCTCATTTTTTGTAATTAAAAAAAATAACAATATAGATTCTGCATTGGTGTTAAAGTTATAGTAATCTGACCACAGCATATATGCTTCGTAGAGGAAAATATAACAGACAACTCCAAGGATTATAAAAAACAATCATTAAGGGTACTTTAAAGTGGTCACACTGATCCTAAGACTATTTGTATTACTGTAGCACCTCGGAGCTCATTTATGCTAGGGGCTGTACAAACCCAATAAAAGGACAATCCTGGTGGGAAACACCTGATACCAACCAAGTGATAATTGCTCCCCACCTCCAAGTAAACTATATGCGGAGTATCTTCCCTTTATCTCTAGGTAAAGGTTATAGGAAAGCTTGTGCTAAAACTTAAATGACATTCAAATACAATGCTTTAATGGTATGGGAGACTTCCAACTAGCCAATGCAGCCTTACAGCTCTAAGAATGCAGAGTCCTATGATTATCTCACACATACACACTTAAAGCTGTACTTTGCTTGTATAAGCTCCCAAACTCACTTCCTATATTTTGACAGTCTCCTCCTATATTTCATTGAGATAATCCTGGTCAGCATATATAAGAAAGCCGGTAAATAAACTGTCTGTCCAGTAGGGATCATAAAAGAGCCCGTTTTGTTCCGAGTAGAAGATCTGCAACCACACCTCATCATCCTGTTTCAGGGAAATAATGGTTGATCCAGAGGCCACATCGTGGTTACCAGTGTTGGCATCAAATGTCTTTATTCGGTATTGCCCGTTGTGGACCAACCCAATGGCCAAGTGTTTATTGGCCAATGTTATGTCATAAGTGAAGTAGTAAATACCAGGAATGCTGCATATAAATTTCCCATTGGAAGCATTGTAGTGCCCGCCTTCGTTCATAAGGATCTTGTCAAATTTGATGGGCAGCCTCTCTCTCGGGTAGCTTTTGGTGACTGCGACTGAAAAGGCAGATTTGGCTTTTTTGGTGTCACAGCTGCATGGTCCTGGCATCCCAGTATCGCCCTTTTTCCCTTTGGGTCCTTTCTTTCCTTGCACTCCATGTTTCCCATGATTTCCCTTAATACCCTTCGGACCTCGTGGACCTGCTTTGCCGATGGCGCCTGCTTTCCCCTTTGGTCCTGGTTTGCCTGGGTTTCCAGTTCTGCCTTGGGGACCTAGAAGACAAATTGCCTTCAGTGAGGTTTTTAGTGAAAAATGTGATCAGGTGTGAGGGCGGTGTTATCATTACAACACTAAATTATCATATAGGAAGAAACCAGCCAGGATCCCCATCTATGGGCGATTTTAATGAAATAATACCTGGGGCTGGATGGGTACTGAGATCTGTCAATCATGTTGCCTTTTCTAACACAAACATTCAGAATGTACATTATAACAAAGGAACCTCAGTTTTGCTCACATTTTGCAACAAATTTAAATGAGTACTGCTGGAAGGGTGCAGAGTGAGCCTGACAATGTTAGAAAGTGACGTCCTCCATTTATCCATGGACAACACAGATAGAAATAGTGCAGGCTTCCCCCTCACGCCATCCTCTCTTGGTGCCTCGATCCTCAGTTGCCGAGTAGAAAGAGAGTTCAGTTCACATGTCCGTTTGCCCTTGGCATCTCTGCTGAAACTGCCAGTTAATACTGACTGTGATGGGAGTTTCTGTGCCATAGACATTTGTTCAAAGAAACAGGATGTAAACCTCCCAACACCTGGCAGGGACGGTCTAGGTATACTTGGTCCTGCCTCAGTGCAGGACTAGATGACCTCTCAGGGTACTTAAGCTCTGGAATAGGCTGAGAATCCCCATCACTAGAGGTTTTTAAGAACAGGTTGGACATTGTCAGGGATGGTCCTGCCGCAGCTCAGGGGAGCTGGACTTGATGACTTTTTGAGGTCCCTTCCAGCCTACATTTCTATGATTCTATGAGAAGGGTCCCACTGTGCAGACAATGTGAAAGAACAGAGCCTAATTTAAGACAGGATTCAGCTTGTGGGTGTAAGAAGCAAAAGGAAGTCGGGAAGGTGACAGTGAGAGAGAAGAATCTGGCCTTCATTACCATACTATCTGAATACCTTGAAATCTAATGTATTGATCCTCACAGCACATCTGTGAGGTAGGGCACTGCTATTATCCCCATTTTACAGATGGGGAACTGAGGCAGAGCGAGGCTAGGTGACTTGCCCAAAGCCACAGAGGAAGTCTGGCAGAGCAGGGAAATGAATATAGTCCTGAGTCCCACACGAGCCTCTTAAACACTGGTCCATCCTTCCTCTCCAGCCACTAAACATGCTGTCTCACGAAGAGAAGACTTTACAAAATGAAATACTCCTACAGCCAGTTGGCCTATGTTGGAGTAATAATGAGCTATGAGATAACATAGCAAAATCTCACTTTGGGAAGGGTCAGCAATAAGAGATGTCACCTAGGACTTTCTAGGCAGGCATGAAAGAAAAGAATCATGGATCTCAATTACTGAGAATTAATTAGTGTGAAATAAAATTCCCCCAGTGGTTTAACATGACCTATTTGGAACAGGGTGCCTTACTTAATTCAGTCACTGTTTTATCTGAGCCTCCATTTTATTTGCTCAGAACCTGCGGAATCAGATCATCTGTATGTAAAATAGAATTACTTCCACCTTCATTTTGATCAGCTTTGAATGCTTTAGGCAGGAATGCTTGAATTACCCTGTCTCTGAGTACAGAAAGAAAGTACCGAATTCGAGTCAGACCTGGGCCCCTTTCTGGGAGCTGCTAGATGTGAGACTGAGCTAGGAGCAGGGCTGGAACTGCTAGACAAGACAGTTGCATGACAGGTGAGAAACGTCAGGTGAAACCCAGAACTGGGACAATGGCCCAAGTATGGGTTTGGGAGCATAGGTGCTGGAACTAGGGCTGCTCGCTTGAAGTGGTTTCCATCATATAGAAGGTTTACAGTTTGGTTCAATGGCTCTCAGCACCCCCACTATATACTCAGCACCTATGTCTGGAAGCAGCTGTTTTTTTCAAATCTCCCTGTGTTTTCTGAACCTCTACTCTTCACCAGGATAGCCTGAAGTGTTAACAAAGCTCTAAGAGGCAGTTCCCTCTTACCTTCCTCTCCATGCTCTCCTTTCTCCCCGTCCTCGCCATCTTTTCCATCCTTCCCTGGAAACCCCATTCGCCCAATTATTCCTGGAGACCCTGGTGCTCCTGGAGGGCCAGGAGGGCCCTGTGGCCCTGGCATGCTGCATATGAGCTGGTGGGAACCTTTCTGAAATTCTCCTTTAACAAAGCCACTGAGAAGCTGATTAGCTACGCAGGGCACGGTCCAGATGAGCAGAACCACAGTGATCATGGTGAAACCTGTCATAATGAAACAGAGGGGTTTACTGACATGTACCATGGCAGGCCAGTATACACACAAAAGTATCCCTACCCACCTTGCCGGGGGGTGGGGGGAAGGAGAAGGAGTGTTTCTCCTCTCAATTAGGGCTAGTTGTATTGTTTTGGTGGCTGGAGGAGTGAAGTGAACCACCGCATTTGAATCTGGGATCCTCTCTATTGGACAGTCACATTGTTACCCTTACCTACACATCCACTTTCCTCTTCCCCTAATGAGAATGCCCCTGGCTTAACTCCTCTCCTTTGCTCTCTTATGACCTCTGCATTGAAATGGACTGGACAGCTGAACCTTATCTACTCCAAGATCACCCCCAAATTGGGGTTTGCTAATCTGGTTACCAGAAATGAAGGGGGGACAAGCAAAGGGATGGGAAAGCAGGTTTCAGGATAACAAAAAGGGCCTTTGTTTCCTCAGACCCCTCTTTCTTTCATCTCCTGCTGTCACCTCTTTCCCCAACCCTTATCATTATATCTCCTTCTTTCTTTGCTATTTCTCCTTTTTATGCTTGATCCCTGAAAGCTGTGAAATGCAGAGTAGCAGTAATGGCGTGGGGTGAAGGGAGTGATTTGCTGCCTATTAACAGAGCTAGAATCCTTACTGCTGGACTCTCATGTTTCTCATTACTCAGGGATCTAGAGAGGTAACTCCTGAATACTCCAAGGGATTCCTGAACTGTCAGCAGCACTTGTCAAGTGTGGTTGAGAAGTTGAGAACTCTACCTATTTTCACTCGAAAGCTGTTTTTTCAGATCCATTTATTTCCCAGTCTGCCAAAATCTCGGCTAACATATTTTATTTAACTTGCTTTTGCCCAAGGGCTACAAATCCAACATCCACCTCTCCTCACTCTTAGACTTGCTGAGCAAAGATCAGGGGGTAGCCGTGTTAGTCTGTATCGACAAAAACAACAAGGAGTCTGGTGGCACCTTCAAGACTAGTCTTTAAGGTGCCACCAGACTCCTTGTTGTTTTTGAGCAAAGATGTCTGTCTACCCTTCTGATTCCTTATCATGTCTCCATCAATTCCAGTCCACAGCAAGCAGCACACTCTACAGCAGGGGTCGGCAACGTTTGGCACGTGGCTCGCCAGGGTAAGCACCCTAGAGGGCCGGGCCAGTTTATTTACCTGCTGACGCAGCAGGTTCGGCCGATCGCGGCCCCCACTGGCTGCGGTTCGCCGTCCCAGGCCAATCGGGGCGGCAGGAAGCCGCGGCCAGCACATCCCTCGCTCGCGCCGCTTCCCACCACCCCCATTGGCCCGGGACGGCGAACCGCGGCAAGTGGGAGCCACGATCGGCCGAACCTGCCGCGTCAGCAGGTAAATAATCTGGCCCGGCCTGCTAGGGTGCTTACCCTGGCGAGCCGAGTGCCAAACGTTGCTGACCCCTGCTCTACAGCCTAATAACACACATCAGAGTCTCTCTGACTCTGAATATAGGCTGCAGCTGTTATCTCCTCACAGCTGTCGGAGCTGGCAGGAGATCACTGACATTCTTCAGTACTTTATTCTCTGCCTCTTCACTTCCCCCTCCAGGATCCCCCATCTTGCTTTGCCTTCTTTATACTGTATTCTTATCCCCTGATGTTTTCCTAACCTCACACCAAGTCGGCTCATTTTCCCTCCCTCTATTTTTTGTGCCTCCGTGTTGTTTGGTTAAGAATTCTAGCTCAAGCCTCACTGGAAATGGGTACCATTAACTAAAATCCAAATCTGGTTGTGTCTGTTTCCTCTTGTAGTTCCTCCCCTCTCCCTGACTGTTACATTGAGGCAAATTCTGCTCTTAGTTACATCTCTGTAATCCCATTCACTTTCATGGTGTTTCATGGAAGTTAGCCCATTAGCATGTAAAATAAACCGATTTAAATGTAATAGCAGAGGCGTCTACTCACTGATATACAGTACTTAATCTGGTTTCAGAGTATTCCAGATTCTGATACCCTTTACACCTATTCAGTGATACCACTCATGGAGTGAGGAGCAACATGCTGTGAGTGAGGGTGACAGAAGAGGGACCTAATGATATAATTTAGAGACAATTATGACAATATGTGAATTAGGGGCCTGATTCTGTGAGGTGCGGAATGAGGGCATTGAGCGCCATGTAGGACTGACTCCTTCACTGTGCTTATATCTCCCTCAGTAAAAATTTTTGTATGTTAAAAAAGGTGGAAGCTGAATTTCAGAAGTAAGTGGAGGACAACAGAAACTCTGTATACCTGTTATACAACGTAAGGGCTTATCTACTCGGAGAAATTTTACTGTATAGCTATTGCGAATAAACTATTCCAGAATAGCTCCCCAAAATTCTATTCCAGAATAAAAGTGATTTTTCTGGGATAATTACTCCACTCACAAAGAAGTTAAAACAGATAGCGATAGATACATGTTTAATTTTAGGTACTTGTATGGCCCCCATTACCATAGCATCTGAGTGTCTCACAATCTTTAATGTATTTATCCTCACAACTGTGAGGTAGGGCAGTGCTATTTTACAGATGGGGGGACTGAGGCTCCAAGAGGTCCCAGCTAAATCCTCAAAGGCATTTAGGTACCTAGCCCTCACTGAAATCAATGGAAGTTAAATGTCTAAATACCTTTTGAGGAGCTGGGCATTAGTGACTTGTCCAAGGTCACACAGGAAGTCTGTGGTGGAGCAGGGACTCAAACCAAGGGTCCCGAGTCCTAAGCTAGTGCCTTAACTGCTGGACACCCTTCCTTCATGTTCAGCAAAGTACTTAAGCTGTGCTGCTGTAGGGCTTCAGCATAGACACTCATTACAGTAGCGGGAACAGTTCTCCTGTCATAGTTAATCCACCTCCCTGAGAAGCAGTAGCTAGGCTGACAGAAGAATTCTTCCATCAACCTTTTGCTGTCTACTCCTGGGGTTAGGCTGGCTTAACTGTGTCGCTCAGGGGTGTGGATTTTTTACACACTGAGCAATGTAGCTGGGTCAACTTAACTTTGAAGTGCAGACCTGGCTGCAGTTAGATAATGCCAACTGTCTCACAAGGTGGTGTCTTCTCTGTGTACATCCCATAGGAGATTCTGAATGAGATAAACCCCATCATAATCTAAAACCAGAACATTTGACTTCATATGTTAATTTTAAACAACAATACCCCCTTAAACTCCACTTATGAATAATTATTAACTACAGAGGCTCCTGAACCAACCCACCAGATATAATCACCCATTTATATCCTGCTTAAACTGGTGATGGAACTGATTTTTGACTGCATTTTGGGCAGTCATTGAGCAAGATGTTACAGTCCAGTCATGAACTCTTTTTGTGGAGATCGAATGAGTACTACGGAGTCTCTGGAGCCAAGAGTTTGATTTTCTAAAAGCAGAGTTAGTCTTCTGTTTTGATTACTAACCACAGGCTGAGGATAAAATACTAGCCAAGTCAGAATTCTTTACCCATTGTATTCCCGTGTAAACAACCTTTTTGAAAAGTTCTGGGGGCTTCCTTTCCTATTTTTACCATGAGTTTTTAAGATCTCATTTGGTTCACTGAGACACAGGGCCTGAAGCTGCCCCCTTGTGCTTAACTCATGCATCTGATCTGTGTTCTCTGAACCTGGCAGGAGCATGCTTTACATGATGCTATGGACATCAGAAATTAATATGTGTGTGCGGGCGGGATTTGCAGAAGCGTGTAAACCTCTGAAAAATTTCCAGCATGGTTGTGTGTTTAAATCTCTATAGAGGAGAGGAGTCTGACCATTCCTTATTCAGAAACTTTAGAAAATGTCATTTCACTACATACTTATTGTCTCCTTCTGTGCTAAGAGTAGGTTGAATGTCACAGATGTAGAACTGGTGAGAAACTACCTACATTCAGTATGGTGTTTACAAGAGTGCCATCTGTAGTGATTGGGAGCTGCATCAAGGCCTTCAGAATCCACAGTACCTCATTTTAGATGCCAATTTACCTCTGTCTGCCCCATACAAATTTCTAGTTATCTCACTTTTACCATTGCAGATTATTGACAGCAGAGAAGCCAAGTCAGAAAGGGTGGTGCCTAACTCCTATTGAAATCAGGAGGTGCCTAAAAATTGAAGGCAGTTAGGTGCCTAAATACCTTTGTGAATCCTACCCAATGAAGTAAAAAGATATCACTTTAATATTCCTGAACTATGGTATTTATTGGGTCTGCCAGGTTAAAAGGGTTAGTATGCTTAATTAATGGACAAAGAGAGAGGTACACATAAGAACACAGTCCCTTCCCTTATCATAGAGCTTCCTCACCCTAGCTGTGACAGATACCCCTCTTTCTAAAAATATATAAGATAAAAGATTCATCCATCATCCCAGTTGGATTTTTCTTATCAGATGCTTATGTTCTACTAACTTAATATAAAATTAGTTTTTGTTCAATCTAACCAGCTTCCAGACAGTTCTCTAGCACTCTTTTCTGAATATCTGTAGGTAGGCAAAGCAAGTGTAGTTAAATGGACACAGATACAAGCTAGAGCATTAATTGTGACAGTATGAACTCTGTTATCTGTTACCAGGCACTTCTAGTCAATAGGAACACAGCAGTCTTCTGGGGCTACATCCAAAGCCTATTGAAGTCAAGAGAAATATTCCCATTGACTTAAAGGAGCTTTGGATCAGGTTACTGATGCTCTAATTAGCCTAGACATTAGAAACTGAGATTATTATTAAAAGTATTGTGCAAAACACACATCTAACATCCTTCCCTGCTCACGCTCTCTGAAGGGGAGGGAATATGTAGTATTGTGTCCTCCAAGAGCCACGTAACTTCTTATTGCAAATCCATTAGGAAACTATGCTACAAATTAACTTTGTATTGAGTGCCCCACACTTTTTCAATGTATATAATTAAGAACATGCAGAGGAGCGAGAGACATAAAACAGATCTCTGGAAAGAGTTCAGTTCCTGAGCTATTTTGATCATCTCATTCCTGTGTTCTTTCTAGCTTAATACATATTTAAGTTAATTTACGGCTGGTGAAAGGTGTCAGATTAATAGCGTTGGAGATTGAAACCACAGAACAGGTATCACCGTGGGCAGATGAATAAAGACCTTTGCTCAATGTCCAGCAACAACAATAATAATAATAGTAAAAAGCAAATAGAATGGTAGAATACCTAAGGAATGACACTGAAAATATTATGATACTACTGGTATGCCCTGGAATTCTGTTCAGTTCTGTTCACCCATCACAAATAGGGCCTAATGGAAATAGAGGGCATTCTGAGCAGAGCTGGGCAGGGAAATAGTTTTCCTGTCCCGCAAAAGTCTCTGAGATTTCAAAAATGTTCCCATCCTATTTTGGGGCAAACCCAAAACCTTTTGAGAGAGAGAAACCCTCCCAAACAGCTGAGTAATTCGGGAACTCAAGAGGGCTGTGGGAGAGTCAAATTAAGTCTCTGCTCTGCCTGATGCAGAACCTGAGTCTTTCACACCCCAGATGAATGCCCTAACCACCAGGCTTTTGCACATATGGGGCAGGTATCTTGCTCAGTGGATCCTAGACCCAAGAACTTTTTGTGAAAAGTTTCAGTTTTGTTGAAAAATTCCCAACCCGCCTTAATTCTGAGACCGGCAACAGAAATAGAGGCCTGGATAGAATTCCTTATGAAGAGAGACTGAAAAGAGGAGGGCTGTTTAGTTTAGAGAAGAGATGAATAAAAGGGAACAATATGGCATAGAGAAAGTAAATTGAACACTTTGGTTTACTTTGTCATAATCCTAGAATAAGGGCACAGTGGATGATGAAAGGCAGTCAATTTAAAACTGATAAATGCTTAATTATCCTGTGGAACTCATTGCAACAAGGTATCCTTTATAGTAGTAATTAGAAAAGAAAAACAGGACTTTTGGAAGGGATATAATGCCTCGTGCTTCAGGACATAAGCCAATCACAATCTTGTTAAGTTTAGGAAGAAAGCCTCCCTGGGGGCAGGATAGATGCCCACTGAGGGATTCCAATTCTCTCTCTCTCTCACTCTCTCAGCTTCAAAAAGCATATTGGAACCAGATCAACATATGACCCTGGCCTCTCCAAACTACAGGCAATGGTCCCAGTAGCAAAGGTCAGAAAGAAAAAGTTTGGCATATTGCAAGATTTCAGTTGAGATATTACAGTTTGAACAACATTCAATGATTGTTTTCTATATTCAGGGTGTTGTTGAATGTTTGATCAAAAATATATCCCTTGTGTAATAATACACAGCACTTGTAAAGTGTCTGACAAACATCAGCTAATTATTGGAAGCTCTTCAGGGCAGGGACTGTCTTTGTTCTGTGTTTACACAGCACCTAGCACAAATAGGTCCTGGTCTGTAACTGTGGCTCCCAGCTGCTCCCACAATACTGGTAGTAAATAATAATAATCCTCTCATTACCCCTTCAGTTTAGTAATGTCATTTTAATACACTGATTTTTCTGGGGGGAAATGAGAAGTGACTTGCCTAAGACTATGGAATGGGTCAGTGTCAGAACTCTGGTATTCCTGCTTTTAGTTGTGGGGCACATTGTTAGGGAATACGATACGGCAACCGTAAATAAAAATAAAAATTAGGAAGTGAAAAGAGAATCCAGGCAAGAAAAAGTTTTGGCCGAACACCACGAACGAGCCATGGATGAATGGTTGGAAGAACATCCTTTTTATTGTCATGTACCATAGTTAACAGTGCTTCTCAAAGTGGTGGTCCGCAGACCGGTGCCGGTCCGCGAGCCATCGGCTGCCGGTCTGCGGCGAGTTTCCTCATAAGAGCGTTGAATAGGATAATAATATGGCACTGGTCCCTGGCACATTGGGGAAAAAAAATTGCCAGTCCCCCACATCAGATAGCTTGAGAACACTGCTATAGTATACATTCTTTATTGCATTTCAGCTGCCTTGGAAATGTAAAGTCAGAGTAAAAATCCTAGAGCGGTTTATCCAAGTAGGAAAGTGGTTGTGTGGTGACAGATGACCTGACTCAATGGTAAATTTCCTTCAAGGAAGCTAAAAAGTACAAGTTGGAGGTGGGGGGTGTTTGAAGGGGCTGAGTGGGAGGGAACCTTCACCACACAGTAATTGACAAATGAGGCTAAAAATATATGGTGTTCTGTATTGCCTGAATAGGGACTGTAAGCTTTGCCCATGCAGGCTATTAACTGGTGTTGCCTGAATTATATTTCCTCCCTGCTGCCTTATGACCTTACAGTGTCTTCTAACACTGATTTGTAAATTAAAAGATTAGCTAAATCCTTGCATTCCAATGTTTCCCATAAATATTTGGACATCTGTTAAATAAAACAACAACCTCCTCACCCCAGATTCTTGCGGTATAATTCAAAAGGTCCTAATGTTCTTAAAATGACTGATTTCCCTTTTATTATAATTCTCATTACTGGTCATTATAATAAAGTATCTCCCTAATGATAGCAGCAAAGCACTCGTCCACACAAAATAAAACAATTATTTGATTTAAACAAGGTGTGCGATTAATAACTAGGGTGGCATGTTTAAAATGGATCCATTTAATCGCTTGTGTAGCTCAGTGAAAGTCAATAGATTTACATCGGGTCTGAATTGGGCCCATCGGCTGTTGTTAGGCAAAATGCTGATAACGTTACACTTCAAAAAAAGGAGAACAATATCCTTACGCTTTGGGTTGCATTACTGTCCTTGCCATTAAGCAAGCAGCGGATGCCTGTGCCAATCCCTCAGTAGCTTTGTGTAGAAAACCTCATTATACAAGTCACCAGTTAAAGAACAGAGAAAGAACTTCCCTGGGCTGGCTGAGCCCCGAAAACTCTATGATAAGCATTTTCCCACTGTAATATTTATTTTAATTCAAGACTGTTGCCATTAAGGATTCCTTTGCATAACTTGGAAACCTGACTGCTCAGTAATCTAGACCTTATTTAGCCAGTGTTTCAAAGTTAAGGATTAAAAAAAAAAAAGGGGGGGGGGGGGGAATTCTACTTACCAGCACTAATCTCGTCAGTAAGATCTTGACCTGCACTGGGAAATCTACTGAATCTTAAGCAGATGTTTCATTGCAAATCGTTGTGACACATTTTAGCATGAATCCCAGTTATTTCTGCAGACAACTTCCTTTCTGAGGGTAGCTTGAAAATTCAAGTCTTCAAACTGCGTTTTAAAAAGTTTATTCCTTTCGCTTCTATTCCCAGCTTCCTGCAGCAGCTTCAGGTTTTGGCTCAACTTTGCCAAAGGCATATTTTTATTATTGTGTAATGGGTTTGAGCCTCTTCCTTGTGTCACATGATATGGGAAGAGATTTTTTACACACATATGGCTGAAAAGCTCTTGATGCTTGGGATTGCCCCCACCCCTCCCTTTCCTCTCTCTGTTTCTCCTTTACAGACTAGTCTAAAAGGTTCAGACCGTGAATGATTCATGGTTGAGAGTTTGCCTGATGCAGTCTGTGTGTCTGTGCAAGGAGTGTTTGTAGGGAGATAGATTAGGTTAGCTTGACCCAGGATAAAAAATTCACACTTGATCCTTAGCACATTGGCAGGAGAGGAAGATCTTATCCTGGGGACTGAAACTCTGTTATCAATTCTAAAACGACTTAGGCAAATTGGTGGCAGGAGATTAGTCCCAAGCCTGGAAGTGAAATAAGTAATGATGGCAATGGAATTAATCACTGACATCATCGTTAACCAGACAGTGCAACTCAACGGCTCTACAAACCTTACTTTAGTTGGACATCCTCATTTTCTCTTACTCACCTCTGTTGCATATACAAGAACAATGACACTAACTCTTTACTTTTTTATTTATTACTGTATGGTGTATTAATATTTTGAAGTTGATACAGTTATTATAAGATTGGAATTTTCTTGGCAGTTCTCTCTCGTGCTTTGAAAATTATAAAGCAAAAATAAACGTTTGAAAGTATTCACAAGGAAAAGCAAACACAGAAACTATATGGTGGATAAGAAAGAAAATACTAACAGCAGTGTAGCAACCTTAATTTATAGATCTCAAAATGCATTACAGAGGTGAGTATTTTCATCATCCATTTGCTTCACTAAAGAGAGGTAAAGTGACTTACTTATGGTCACAGAACAGGTCAATGACAGGCAAGAATAGAATAGTTGGACCTCAAGTATCTGACAATGGCCAGTGTCTAGAATGACTAGGGCTGGTCTACACATAAAACTTAAGTCAACCTAGCTATGTTGCTCAGGGCTGTGAAAAATTTTGCACCTTGAGCACTGTAATTAGGTTAGGTCAACCTCGCCCTTGGTGTAGACACAGCTAGGTTGACAGAAGGATTTTTCTGTTGACCTAGTGACTGCCTCTCAGAGAGATGGACTAACACAACGATGTTTGAAAAGCTTTTTTTCTGAAATCAGGGTGAGTAAGAAGTTGCTCCCCAATCTCATGCATTTGATGGCAGGATCTGACATTCAACCTTTAAACAGGCATCTTGATATGAATTGTTTTCAGGCTTGTTCATCTTTAGCATGGAGACAGAAGGGTGGCTTTAAGGGAAAGCTATATGCAGACCTTTTGCTCATCCATGTATCCTAGGTACTTGTATGGCACACATTACCAGAGAAACCGAGCACCTCACAATATTTGATGTATAGATTGACATAACACTCCTGTGAGGTAGGGCAGTGCAAGAGGCCCTATTTTACAGATGGGGAACTGAGGCACAGAGAGACTAAGTGACTTCCCCAAGGAAGTGTGTTACAGAGTAGGGACTTGAATCCAGGTCTCCTAGAGTATTAGGCTGACACCCTAGCCACTGGGCTGTAAGCCCAATGCAACTTCCTAGTACTTCACGTGTGTCGAGAAACTCCTCTCCCCAAGCAGCTGGAATTCCATGTTTCGCCTAATACAGGACTTTCTGCGCCTTCTGCTGGTGGCCACCACGCTGGTGTAGATAGAATGACACTCATAGTGACAGTTGGCAGCATGTGTGCCCACCAGCATCAGACTTGTTTCACTGCTTCCCAGTGTTGATTTAATAAATCAGGAGAACTGAACTGTTTACATTTTGCAGGCAACTGGGGCCCTTCTTCCGGGGTGATAATGTGAAACTGCTGTTCCTGATGAAGATAAGAGTGAAAAAGGAATTCCACAAACACAATCTGTTCTTTGCTCTCAGCCTCTCTTTCTCCCTTTAACCCCATTGCTCAAAGTTAATCATCTGGTGGACATATGGTGTGCAATAATACTATTAAATTTTGGTTTGAGTCCATCAAATATTGTTTGTGATGAGGGCCTAGGTTCGCTAGGGACAATGAGGGAAATTCATATAGCCACGTAGATAGCTTGACTAATTATTATTTTTTTTCATGATAAGGAGAAAATATAGCCTTTGATCTTATACAGGAACTGATCTTTCTCACACTGAAGTCAATGGAAGTTTTATTATTATTTATTTATATTATAGTAGTGCCAGCCCCCAGCCCCACTCCTTCCACCCAAGGCCATGCCCTTTCCGCGCCCCCCGCCGGAGCCCAGAACCCGCCCACCGTGGCCATTGGCCCTCTCCCCAGGCTAACTCCTCCCACTCCGGCCTGGAGCGTCAGGGGGACGGGTGGTGTGTGGCCGCAGCCGTCCCAACCCTGGAGCACTGGGAGGGTGGGCGGCACAGCCCTGGCCCAGCCGGGGCCAGCACTGGGGGACAGGAGCTGCACACAGACTCAGAGCTGGAAGCGGAGGGTGGGGGGTAACCTGGGGGTGGAGTGTGAGCGGGACCACGCTTGGCTGTTTGGGGAGGCACAGCCTCCCCCAGCCTATGGTACCTGCTGCCCATGCTGGAGATGACACCAGAGCTGTTGCAATACATACTCCATCCATTTACTTAAAAGCTACACTGCTATATCCTGTATAAAGGTCAGAGTACAAACTAAAGGAGATCTAGAGATGCAAACTTGAATTGCACATACTACTGACTACATGTACTACACAGAGCCCAAGCAATGAAATGGATGCAGAACTAACTACCCTGTGTCCTTCATGGTCTCCTCCACATCAGAGGTGGGGTAGTAGAGGTCAAGTCTGCCTGCAGCTGCCCATGCTATCTCTGGACTTAAGATAAATAGAGGCCTCCAGGTTCTGAGTCATAGCCCTTTCCCTGAGCGCTACATTAACTATTTCCTCACACTCCTCAAAATGGTGGAGGAATCTGTTTACTTCAGATAAATGTGTCTCAGGCTTGGTCTACACTAAACCCCCAAATCGAACTAAGGTACGCAACTTCAGCTACGTGAATAACGTAGCTGAAGTTCGAAGTACCTTAGTTCGAACTTACCTCGGTCCACACGCGGCAGGTAGGCTCCCCCGTTGACTCCGCGGTACTCCTCTCGTCTAGCTGGAGTACCGCAGTCGACGGCAACCACTTCCTGGTTCGACTTATCGCGTCCAGACAAGACGCGATAAGTCGAACCCAGAACTTCGATTGCCAGCCACCGAACTAGCGGCTGGGTGTAGACATACCCTCATTTACTTGTAATCACCTCAGTCAAAACATAGGGGTAAATCTGCTGCACTTCTGTGTTTGTATGATTAACCTTGAGATATTTTCTATCCATTGGAGATTATCAGTGAGTTGTGAGCACTCAGCTAGAATCATTTTTCCCAAAGCGCTCTGATTTTCATAACTTTCACCTCCTACTGCTCTTGTAACATGCTGAGATTGGGTCCAGCTGTGTTTATTTTCTTAATTAACTAAGCCTCATGACATCCCTGGATATGCAAGTATTTTACAGAAGAGGCACAGAAATGTCCACAGGAGAAGGTCACACAAGGGAAACTAGGACTATAACCCAAGAGTCCTGGCTCCCTGTTCTCTAGATGCTAGACAATGATCCATTCCCATTTAAAAAAAATCCTTACTTTTAAAAAAGGGCGTTTGATTGCAGAAAAAGGTACTGTATGGGCATGGAACACTCATGGGATTCTTGAATACTTATTAGAGGGGTAGTCATGTGTGGTTCCCATTAAATGAAAACTATAAGGTGACACATCACCCTGCCCCATATGAATCAGAATCAATTCATACAGATGGTGGACCACCTCTTGTCAAATAAAAGGACTCCCACTAGCCCAGTTTAGCTGCCATAATTGCTCAGCTTTGTTTTCCTCGAATTGAAAATGCTCACATAACATCATAAGAATGGCCAGACTGGGTCAGACCAAAGGTCCATCTAGCCCAGTATCCTGTCTTCCGACAGTGGCCAACACCACGTGCCGCAGACAGAATAAACAGAACAGGTAATCATCAAGTGATCCATCCCCTGTCGCTCATTCCCAGCTTCTGGCAAACAGAGGCTACGGACACCATCCCTGTGCATCCTGGCTAGTAGCCATTGATGGACCTATCTTCCATGTATTTATCTAGTTCTTTTTTGAACCCTGTTATAGTCTTGGCCTTCACAACATCGTCTGGCAAAGAGTTCCACAGGTTGACTATGCGTTGTGTTAAGAAATACTTCCTTTTGTTTGTTTTAAGCCTGCTGCCTATTAATTTCATTTGGTGACCCCTAGTTCTTGTGTTATGAGGAGTAAATAACACTTCTTTATTTATTTTCTCCACACCAGTCATGATTTTATAGACCTCTATCATATCCCCCCTTTGTCGTCTCTTTTCCAAGCCCAAAAGTCCCAGTCTTATTAATCTCTCCTCATACAGAAGCCGTTCCATACCCCTAATCATTTCTGTTGCCCTTTTCTGAATCTTTTCCAGTTCCAATATGTCTTTTTTGAGATGGAGCTACTACATCTGCAGGCAGTATTCAAGATGTGGGCATACATTGGATTTATATAGAGGCAATATGATATTTTCTATCTTATTGTCTATCCCTCTTAATGATTCTCAAAATTCTGTTCACTTTTTTGACTGCCGCTGCACATTGAGCGGATGTTTTCAGAGAACTATCCACAACGGACTCCAAGATATTTCTTGAGTGATAACAGCGAATTTAGACCCGATCATTTTATCTGTATAGTTGGGATTATGTTTTCCAATGTGCATAACTTTGCATTTATCAACATTGAATTTCATCTGTCATTTTGTTACCCAGTCACGCAGTTTTGAGAGACCCTTTTGTAGCTCTTCGCAGTCTGCCTGGGACTTAACTATCGTGAGTAGTTTTGTATCATCTGCAGATTTTGCCACCTCACTGTTTACCCCTTTTCCCAGATCATTTATGAATACGTTGAATAGGACTGGTCCCAGTACAGA